GGAAAAGAAACGAAAATAGTGAAAACGACAACAAGTCCTTACGCAGCTGACTTACATGGTTTCATGGCGATCTATGTATACTGCGATATTGTGCAACCTCAAATTGTCGGAAATACCAGTGCCAAATTACTCAGAAGCATTCCCGTCCAAGGAAAGTTGGGTGACGTCATTACTAAAACGTTCACAAACATACAATACGTTCCAGTCCAAACCAAATCTTTTGAAGATGTGGAAATAGTTTTAAGGAACGACACAGGCGATCCAGTGCCATTTGAACGTGGCAAGGTGGTGACGACACTACATTTCAGACAGCGTAGTTACTTCTCCTGAAAAGATGAATAATCCTTACGTACGCTATTATTTGGATCAACAGCAAGGGCACGGGATGCCTGTTTTCTCAGGTAGCCCTTGGCAAGCCGGTTATGGTCACCAGATGGGCTATGGAATCGGGGGTCTGTTTCGCAGCGTGGCAAGAGCGGTGATGCCCATGGTGAAAAGCGGAGCAAAAGCTCTCGGTAACATTGCCCTGAAAAGTGGCGCTGACTTTGTGGGTGATGTTCTTGCCGGTAAAAACGTAAAAGAAGCAGCAAAAGCACGAACCGTGGAGGCTGCAAACGTTGCGAAAAGAAAAGCTATAAATAAGCTGAAGAGTCAAACAGGAAGTGGAAAACGTGCGAAGGGAACAGCTAAAAAGAGAAAGGCATCAACAGCTACAGCCAGAAGCAATCAGACCAAGAAACGGAAAACAGCTCAAGACATATTTGGCTGAAGCATGAATTTCGTTCATTCTAAGTCGCAAGAATGCACAAAAAGTGAACTCGATCTATTCTCTGTACCTCCGACACAGACCAGTTTAGAAAAAGGACATTGGATAGATCATCAACCTGTTTCCAGTGTAGCTGATGGAGGTTCCATTACGTTCCTGTCTCCAGGCACTGAAGATTACATCGATCTTGCTAAAACAATCCTCGTAGTGAGAGCAAAAGTGACGAAAGCTAATGGTGCAAATCTTGATGCAGACGAAAAGGTTAGGCATTTTTAGCTCTTTATAGTTATTATACGGAGCCCCTTTATTTGTAAATATTAAATTATCAAAATTTTCAAGAGTGTAATAAAAAATTGTTATTGTTAAAGGTTGGCGTTGTGAACAATTTCCTACACAGCATGTTCAAACAAGTTGACGTCTTTCTGAAAGAAAAGCAAGTCACTCAGGCTACTGGGACGTATGCGTACCGTGCTTATCTGGAAACCCTCTTGAATTATGGCCCCTCAGCAAAAGATTCCCAGCTCACCGCAGCTCTGTTTTACAAGGACACTGCGGGAACAATGGACATCGCAAATCCTACCACAGCAGGTGACGCAGGCAACGCGGGTCTTAGAGCAAGATACGTTTTCAGCAAGACAAGTGGAATTATTGAAATGGCTGGACCTATATTAAGCGATGTATTTATGACCGAGCGTCTCCTGCTGAGTTACGTAGATCTGAAAGTTATTTTGAATCGAAGCAGCAACGAGTTCTGTCTGATGGCCTCCGAGGACGATGTTGATTTCAGAGTGAAACTCACCGACGCCTATCTCAAGATACGTAAAGTGAAAGTCAGTCCGAGCATTTCCGTGGCCCACGAAATTACATTGAAAAAAGGACCAGCCATCTATCCCATTCGTAAAGGAAACCTGGCCATTGATATCCAGTTCTCCAGAGCACCCACAGTCGCAGTGAGTCTCGTGTGTTACGGAGATTTCGAGAATACCATTCATATCGATTCTGAGAGAAACGTTATCTACGATTATTCTGGTTAGATGAACACTTCTCAAATAACGCATGCGCTACAACAAGATCCTGTAACAAGCAAGAAGTTTTGCGGTGTGTTTCCTAGCGATAAGTTGCCTCAGACGATCGACAGATATCCTTGCGGATTCGTTGCGAACACGGACCCAAGCAGTGAACCTGGAACGCATTGGGTCGCCTTCTACTTCCCATCGGAACAGAAAGGAGAATTCTTTGACAGTTACGGACAGGCACCAGATTACTATAGGGATTCATTTGGAGACTTTTTAGATAAACAATCTTACGCATGGGATTTTAATAGACGTAAATTGCAAAGTTCTTGGTCAGATGTGTGTGGCCAGTATTGCATATTTTACCTTAGCCATAGAGCAAGAGGACAAAGCATGAATACGATCGTACAGTTATTTGATAATAATACAATGTTAAACGACTCTAGAGTGTTTCAGTTTGTCAAAAATCATTTCAAAGTAATAGTAAAACAAATAAATAACCTTAATCAGTTTAGTAAAAAGATGATTCAATAAATGTTGTAAGAAATCAATATTGTGTGTGTGTGTCTTGATTTGTGCGCAAAACTAATAAGCAATAATGACAACCAATGACAGGTGAAAAATATTTTATTGAATAGAACAGTTACATGATTAATAATTATGCCAGCGTTTTTCAGTTTGTTTGCCCCCTTCACGTCGCTTTAGAAGATCTTGAAAATATTGCGATGGACTTGCACGTTGTGGGCTAAAGGGATCAGGTGAAGTATCAATTTGCTTCCATCTCTCCTCATTCCTTACGAGATCTTTAGGCATGTTCATCTTGGATAAAGCACGAAAAAACTCTCTTGATCCAGTAGGATTAAAATTTCTTCTGGACCTCAAGGCATCACTGACCAAATCAGATATGTTGGAATGGGAAATTTCTTTACCGTCCAGGCTAACTTGTCCAGATTCATCCCAAGAAATAACGTCAGGTCTTGCTTTCAATCGATTTAACAGTGCTGTAGCTCTTGCACGCATGGTTTTAGGTATATGCTCGACCACGTCTGCGTCAGATAACCTTGCTTGTTCTATGGGCTCAGGTTCTTGTTCCGTACCAGGCGCTATCCGAACGGTAGGTATTTGACCATCTTTTTGACGTCTCAAACTCAGATAACTTTCCATGTTCGCATTGTACAATTTCTGTTTTTCAGCATCGGGCATACTCGCGCTCTGAAGAATCTCCGACATCTCTGTATCCTGATGCATCATGTTGGACATAATAGGGGCAGTCTCAAGCTTTTGCTTCTGCTCATATCTGTTAAGCACGTCTTCGGGAACCAGCACCATTCGTTTTGCATGCTTCATTTTACTAACAAGCTACTAAGTACACTTAATACGGGTGGTAAGAGAGCAGTCAATAGATTCCCACCTTTTTGATTAAGGTGCTTCTTCTTCTGTTTTCTTGACACTTTCTTATTCGCTAAAGCACGGAGATGTGTCTTGTAGCGCACCAATCGTCGCTTTTGACGCGGCGTTAGTGGGATTACGCCTTTAAGTAGATTCAGGGAACACTCGCAGATAGCCGTGATGACATTTGCAGGAACGTTTTCGATAAGCAATTTTCGCAATTTAGGTTTAGATTTCACCATGACTTGAAGATAGGGAAGACTTCCTCTCATGCGCTTTGACATCTTGCAAATGATGAATTTCCAAAACATGCGTAGCTTAAGTACGTTTTACGTAGACAATTTGTCTCTCCCCAGGCAGAATGTTGGTTCTCAATCGCATGTTCTCTGGTGTCAACTGATGGCAATCAATCATCAAGTATCCATAAGGTTTACTCGTAGCATCTTCAAACGACTCCATGAGGTAATTGGTATGTTTAGGAAACATTTGTCTGGCAAGTGTCGAGATACCAAGTGAGTCGCGAGGATTTCGGAATATCAACAAGTAGTGGGAATTAAGACTAATCGTTCGTGACAATTTACCAGGTGGAAAAAGGTTTTGGGTAAGGAATAAAACAGATATACCACGATGATGAGAGCCGCGTGTAAATAGGTCCGAGACGCGTGTATCATTTGAACATTGGGACATTAAATCATCCAAAATTACTAGCGAGTTATCGTGTCCCTCTACCATAGCATACAAGTCATTTGGAAAACCATCCACAAACTCGATGTTTGGTAGTCTCTGGGACAGGTCATCAAATTCTTTTTGATGTTCCCCATAACAGTACAAAATCTTCGTCGGAACAGGAAAAAATAGCTCTTCCAAATTATCTAGCATGGAACGAACAAGATGCGATTTCCCGCTTTGAGACTGACCACAAATGTAATAGTTCGCAGGAGTTCGAAATCTCACGTCCATCGTATTCATGTGCACAACACGGACTGCGTTATTATTTGACGTGTCCGTTTGTTTTATAACCAGAACCGAGAAATCACTCTTCGGAAAAGACTCTCTTGGATCAAAAATTCTTTAAAATCAAAACGTTTCAAAGGGGCTGCAACCAAACGAACGGCCCTACGCGTAGTATCTTCAGAGGCATGTATCAAATAAACTAATGCCAGATAGGCTATGGCACGGCCAAAATTAGTGACATTGATCGTGTTAAAAACAACATGTATTTCACTAGGATTAACATTCAATATCATTTGATTGTACAATGATTCGTGACGCTCAAGCAGACAATTGATATGATGAGATAATGTTCTCATGTCAATGTCAACGCCATTTTTCTGCAACTCGTTTAATATTACTTCCATCGCAGCAAAACAACAAATGAATACAACAACCAAAACATTTTATTAAAAATACACGTAATCTACAACTGTAACTGGTTTGCAAAATCATGCATGAATTTAGTTGCTAAGTAATTGTTTTTATTACAACTCTGCTTCTCTAAAGGTTTGTTACTAAAGTTCACAGTTTGGAAAAATCCCAATTCCTCGTCAGGTGCCCACTCGAAAAACCGACACGTACTCTCCTTATCATTCGCACAACAGAAGAACAATCGATCTTTGTTGAGTCCTTCCTTCTTCACCTTTCGAATCGCGCACGGTAATCCATGACGGCACTCGGGTTTCGCTAACGGCTGTACATCACCCCACATCCAAAAGGAACACGGCTTCGCCTTTTCTCCACACACGAAGAATGGTCTTCCATAATTCACATTCATCAAATTTTTCACGACACACATTTTCGCAAGTTTATGATGTTCATCGCACAGAGGATGAGGCTGCTCGGTACATCTCCAAGCTGTTATGGCTTTTTCATACATGTAGCCTTCGTCTTCTGTACAAAAGAAATTGCAACTGGGGTTTTGACCGCAAAACCAAAATGATCCATTGCTTGTTGTGGAATTAGCAGCAGGTTTTCCATGTAAGCACTCCATCGTACAGTTCTGTTGGCAAGTAATGAAAACTGGCGCACGATCCCATCCTTATATATTGTTAAAGTACGACCGCTTCCGGTGACGTAATGATCTTGCCCAAACTTGTTCATGTCCTCAGCATTTATCCTCTCTCCAGTATGAAAGATAATTCAAAATTGATTCAAATTCATTATCCTCGGTGTTTTCACGAAGATCCATCAGCGAATAAACAAACGTTGAATCAGGACTTTTCTCTAAATCGTCAAAGTGATCTCGAACATCTTTATGATACTGTAACTTCATCACTCTAATAGCCTCAACAAACTCCCTCCAAACCATACGTTTAACAATCACTCGCTCTATGGCTTCCAAACCATACGATTGCCATCTCTCTTGTTCTGATAACATGAGACAGTCATGCTGGCGTTGACTCGGATGGTCGTACTCACAACCACAACATCTCTCTTTAGCAAGTTTACCAACTTCGTAAGCAACAGCCTCTGCATATATAGCCTCTAACAAACTAAAAAGCCTTTTATAATCAGAGGACGAAACTTCGTCTGCATGAACACTGTTGGCCCAGTTCGATTGCTCAAAATGTTGTGAAAAATTCATCTTCAAAGGCTTAGGATGCAGTGAATAAACGAGCAGTCTCTTTTATAGACAAGTGCAATACAATTACGTAATGCTTACTAAAACTGTACGTACACTAAGTACGAACGCTTGGACGCACGCTAAGTACGTACACTAAGTACGAACGCCCGGACGTACACCACCTGTTGACGTCATTCGCTTGAATCACTTCCGTACCTGGATGGGGGGGGGGTTACCTACTAATAAGCACTTTATCGTATATTATAATATATGTTATTTACATAATATATTCTCAATAAGCACTAATGCATTCAGTCTTCTGCATGCAGTTCTAAGGATTTGAAAATGGCTGTTTTAAACATACTATACTCAGCCTATTTTCAAATAAATTTACCAGCTTTCTGACAAAGAAATACATACATTATTACTTCATGTCCTCCTTATCTAGAGAAAATTTATTTTCTTCTATTTTTTAGAACCTTCCATATTTAGTGCGGCCAAGACTTCTCTCCGTCGATTTAACTATCGCCTTTACTTCGCCCTGCTCCTCACAGACCTCCTGCCAACCATTTATACCACAGTTCGCATCCATTACCTTGGGGAATTACCGAACACCTGGGGTGTAAACATCGCCTCACAACTGCAATGGGTGAACGTTATCTTAGAAGTCGTCCAGGAGGCGCTAATCAAACCTTTGTACTTTTGCATCGGACTGACGATCGGAAACGCACGTGATACTGAGAACAAAGTGAAAAGCGGACTGTTAGTCACATTTCTTATCTACCTCGTATGTACATCGGTAATCGCCAGCGCAGCTTCGCCACTTACCGTCTGGATGGCACAGGACGAGAAACTGATCAGCAAAACCGTTGACTACGTCCGTCTCGAACTGATTGGGATAGTCATGGCTAACTTGGTCGAGTTTTTCATGGTTGTTTTTGTTCTGTTAAACGCCCAACGCCACATCTATGTAATCCTTGCAATCAAGATGTCTCTCTCTATCGTGCTTGATTCCTTCTTTCTAAGCGAGTCAATCGATGTCTCGCTTAAGTTGGGCGTCAACGGCATCGCATACACAAATATCGCAACAGCCACCGTAACCTTTATCTATGCTACCTGCGTCTTCTGCAGGATGTACGGCTACTGCCTTGCTAGGCCGAACTTCGCATGGCTACGTGACTGGTCGTTCGTTGGTCTATTCTCAGGACTTGACTCGCTGACACGGAATGCCGCCTACCTCCTCATGATAATCCGAATGATGAACGTTGTTAAGAAGCAAGGAACGTACTGGTTGGCTAACTCCTTTGTTTGGTCTTGGCTTCTCTTGCCGTTCTTATCTCTTTCCAAAGTGCTTATCCAAGATACGTCCAACACAAATGACGTCATGGACCACCGCATCAAGACTCTAGCTTATTACGTCATTGTTATGTGTATTGCTGCAGTATGGTGCGTCACAATTCCGGGATGGAAAGGCTTCTTTAACGTTGTCCTCAACGTTGAGAAGACAGATGAGATGTTTCGTCTTGCAACCATTCTTGCGCCATTTTACATGCTCTTTATGTTGAATACTTTAATGGACAGTGTCTTCTATGGAAAGGGCAAGACCCAGATGTTGGCTATACAGTCGATTATAACAAACATAGTGGTCTATGGCATTGCTTTTGCCTTATTCAAGGCAGATGTATTTGATCCATCACTGACCAGTATCGCCATCCTTTTCGGAGCTGGTATCACTATGGATTCTTTCTTAACTTTTGGTCTCTACTATATATTTCTTCGCAAGGTCCAATTCGAGCTCTAAACTGTTCTCTGCGATATATTTTTATGACGGACTATAGACAAATGGAGCAAACTGATTGGACCATAGGCTGACAGAGCTGACGCTCACAATCGGATTACTAATTTTTGACATTCATAATATAAAACGAAACGTTTTCTCCCTTATAATTTCTTGCCGTAAAGCCAGTCGAATCAGAAAAGTATTTAACCGGCGTTTCTTGCCGCTTCCAATAATTTCATAGGATGTTTAAACTGCATGCTTTTGATCATGACTACTAACTCTATATTATACAAAGGCGTCAATCCTTGGGGAATCGGAGGAACTCCTCTACATATATTATATACAGTATTAGATTGTGTCAAATAATTTGCTTATTATTAGATTGTATAACAATTTACTGTAATTTACGTCTATTATGTAATATTTCAAATCCGACTATGAGGACAGGACTAAATTTCAAGTCCGACTAAGTTTCAAATGTCAAGCAATTTAATCAAAATGCGAGGACTTGAAATCTAGTCCAGTAGGAATTGGAGGATTGGAAATGATATCTCGTACGAAATCACTACTTATTTAAAATGAATTGAATTAATTTTGATCTAATCTTAAGGTAATTCCGCAGTAATTGTTCCCGAAATGAGAATGTGCTGAAACTTCCCAGGCATGGAGTTTATGATATACTTAAAGTAAAATCACACAAAAAAGTCGGGGTCACCGAACTCGTTAAGAAGATATGACAATCACAATATACCACCTTTACCCCAATATGGCGCCATCTTGACGCTCATTACGAGTAACAGCAAAATCACAACAGCCCGATATTTATTGACGTTTTTAGCGCGGATTTTGCTTTAGTAAACCTATCTTGTAATTATTTTTGAAAAATATTGTGTTTTGAGCAAAATGAAACTACTAACGTGTACAATTCTGATCCACAAATGTCTTTTCCACATTTCTTTACATATCTTTCTTTGAGAACATGCATTGATAAAGGATTTTTTTCAAGATCCAGAAATGATTTTTCTTTTAATTTCGGATATGAAATGTAAAATGCATTAAAGAAATAAATTATCAGTTAAAAAACGGGGGTCACCGATCTTTTTAGGGAATTGTGGCATTAAAACGTGAAATACAAGTAAATAAATATACTACAGACACAGGAAACCCTAGCTACACTTTTGTATGCCTTTTTTGAAAACATTGATTTTAACGTAATTCTTTGCACGAATGTAACCAAAGATGTTTTGAAGTAACATAAAATTGTCATAAAATGATTTTTTTTAAACGGTACGTATAATGGATGAAATTATAAGTTATAAGATGTGCGCAGTAAAAGTGCGCAATGCAAAACTGCGGAATTACCTTAAGACTAGATACTGCAATATAATTCACTAGGTATCCAGTAAGATCACGTGAACAAAATAAAGCAATATGGTTGGCTAATTTACTGGTGAATGATTAATGAGTTTGAGTTATCCTTCCACACCGCGGATTTACAAGAATATGTGACATTAGTATTTTTGCACAAGTGAACATAACAAATCCTACAAGTTGATTGGTCAAATTTGACGTATTAAGCTGTTATATTCACCTATACATGCCGGTGAATATAACAAAACCGAAATTTTCAAAATGGCGGCTAGCTATTTTGTGGACGTTATACTGATAAAGAAATAAGCGAAATTAAAATAAATTCAGTCCCAAAAAACTCAAGAATACTAAAACAATTATTCCCCTCAGGCTCGGTGATTATCGGGGAATATATTCACCTCGACTTCGTCTCTGCGATATTCCCCGTAATCACCTCGCCTTCGGCGAATAATTGTTAAATGCAAAATTTTGGTAGTCGATACCTACAATCATGAACAAAATTACTCGGACAAACACATTAAATACAAAGAGGGTTGCACAATCTCTAAAGTATCCTCCAAAAATCCGCCCCCCTCCCCTGATACAATGTTGGTGAACCCTCGAGGCATGTACCATTGTATCAGGGGAGAAGGAATGCAACTATTTTGTAGATGAAAGCATCCGTGATATGTAAACTTCAGCCATGAAGAAACAGGGTCCGAGTATTTTTTGTCAAAGATTGTACATAAGAATTCATGATCGTCTGAATATCTAAACCTTTTCCGCTGTAAACATTCGTATTAAACATTCGGGATTACTTGAAATCCTGTACAGTCCGAATTCGAGGTTTTGAAATAACAGATTATCAAGCGCGCGAATGAGGCGGCGGGGCAGCCCGATTTAAAAAGGGCACTTACTTCAATGCCTTAATGTTTGCTGTACGGATTAGACAAATTTCCGCATTGATTGGAACATTTTTATTCGTTGGACGACGCTAAAGACTAAAATGCATTGTAAAACAACATGACATTTTGTCAATTATTTTAGGAAGGCTTTCTTTTTTACTTTTCCCGCGCTATTTCCACACAGCCCCCACCCCCGCTGTCCCTGTGGATCGCCCTCCCCCCTGCATCTCATACGAATATGACCATTACCTAAAGTTAATTGATTTTGACCCAATGCCATGTATATATATCAACATGAAAGTAATTCGCGCATGTGGATATAGGAGGTGACCCGGTCTTATTTTGGAGGTACATAAAACGACAAATTGCAGTCCAACAACTTATAATTAATGCAAATTAAATATTATAACTTTCAGGTTCACTTACCTTGAACTGGACACTGATGGTGATGGTAATGTTTATAATTTGTTAAATTCAAATATATCATTTAATGTCTTGCCAACTTTTGGCCAACTTTTCCAGTCAAGGGAAGTGGGCTGAAACACTCAGTTAAAAAAAGCTCTCGGTCGCATCAGCCTCGTGTTTTCATTGTCTTTTTTTGATGTACAAATTTCGGAGCGACAAAAATCACTTGGTAAATAAACAACCTCATGAATTTATTATTCTCTCACTTTGCTTTATATAAACAACAGCCCAAGAATTTACTTGATGCAAAATAATGAAAATGTAACCTATATATGTTTTTACTTGTCTAAATTTCATCAACCGGGGAGGAGGATAAACTATATATACATTCACTAAAGGGGCTGCAGTACATTTGTTTCTTACTTTTAGGTAAAATTTCACACAAAGAACTATTTTATGGATTAGAAGGTGATAACTACAACAAGTTCTACACGTATTTAGAAAATTTGAAAACGGTTAATCCTGAACGAAGGGTCCGGTACAGTGACACGGTTTTCGTAAAGCCACGGACTGCGAAGGAGTTATTCGAAGATCTTAGATACAGGTTAGAAGACAGTATGTAATATTGGAAATATAACTTCAGATCTGACATATATTTGTATAGATAATATATATATATAGCTCTGTCAGTTCTGTCTAAACTGTTCTCCCCATATATAGGCCATACATGCAGTATTCTAGCACTGGTCCATGCAGTCATTGGTATACGGACCGGAAACCGCAGTACCCCCGGTAGAGTCAAAGAAGCACTTTCTCCGTACATGCTTGTGATTCAGACGATGTGATCAGACATCTGCGTTAATACAATGCGTGAGTTCAAGCCTTTTAAGCAAACTGAACTGAAAGGCGATATACGACCATGCAAAACTTGCCTTGTTAAAATACTGGCTGTATAGGGTAATAGGCATCCAGTGTGCTTTTTACCTTTCTTTGGGATGTTATTGAATTATTTTGCATGTACAGAAAAAATGCTTCCAATGCTTCCTGATCTTGGACCAATGAGGGGTGGCTTCACCAGTCCACTTGGTGCATAACGATTGAATTAATCAAACTATGTTGGTTTAGATCCTCATAATTTTTTACCGTATATGTTAAGTAATTATTGGCTAATCAATTATCTTTCATTTCTCTGTTAGGATTGTAAATCTCACAGGATTGCCCTATGGTATGGTTAGAGCTGGCGAGGATTTGCAGGTATATGATGGAAGATACCATTCTGTCAGTACATCTTTTTAAATGAGATAAAGGCAAAGAAAAGCATCGCTAGGCCTGCATAAACTAGGAAGCATTTTTACGAAAATATATATCAGAATCATGACGTTTCCTTTCTGAGATGTTGGTTTTGCCGCTTTCTCTCCATGCACTTATCGACATTTTTAAATTTTTTCCTTCGGCCGTAGTTTTCAACCTTCAATTTCTCTATCATGCAAATAGGAAATGGCACACCCAACATCTGTTTAAATTGACCAGTTTACTCTTAGAAGAAATGTAGTCTACAAGCAAATGTTTTTCGACAAATGTTTCTTGGTTTTCTTAAAGGGGACAGTATTTTCGCAAACAAAGTGGATTACGTTATCCTATCCTGAAATTTAAGTCTAAAGGCCTAATTCCACGACGAGCGCGAAAAATTTCGCGCGAAAAGGTTGAACGCATGCGCAACATGATTTTGGAGTGTTTCTCTGCGAAATACTTCTCTTCGCCGGGTAATTGAATTGGTTTCTACTCCGTTGCGAAATGGAAATAGCGAAGCCAATCAAAAATGCTTGTGTTTTGGATGACAAAATAGCGAAACCAATCAAATGCTTGTGTTTTAGCTAATTTTTTCTCCACTGTGGAAATCACAACGAGAGAAAATATTCGCACAAGTTTGTTTTCGCGCGACATTTTTCGCATTTCGCTAGTCGTGCATGGTGATTAGGCTTTAAGTGTGAGGTTGTTTCGTCTTTATTGAAGGTGGTAAGATATCGAGCAAGTGGCCATTACCATTCGCATCTTGATTCTGAAAACAGCATCAACAGCGAGGAATGTTGTCAGTATAGAAATTGGAAATCAGGCTGTAGACTGTGCAGGTATACGATATTATTTTATTTTATGACTTATAATTTATTATTTGTATTACATAGAGTATTCCAACAAGGTACAACAAATTGCTTGTTCCGTGTCTGTGTTTCAGTTCTCATTAGATTTTGCAGCACAGTAGTCATTGAAATATAACTACCTGAAGACTGCAGTCTTTAGGCTTGTTAATATATTTTTACAAAAATGTTTATTAAGACCAAACATTGTCTAAAAGTAGATAACTCAGTGTGTGCAAATGTATGCATGTGTCCAAAAACGGAAACACTGTGAGTTAGAAATTATACATTTCAAGTAACATTCTGTTTGAAAGGAATCCATTTTTTATAATGGTCCCGTCTTTTGGTGTACAGTATATTATTGTAGGCTATAAAATTAAATCGAGACCAATTATGTTGGATGTAAACTTTAATTTTGTTTGTATAGGTATATGACAGTGCTGTACTTTCTAAATGATGTGGAAGAAGGCGGAGAAACTGCATTTCCTCTCGCTGATAATGCTACGGCTGATTCAAATGTAAGAGATTTGTCAGCGTAAAATTACGATTAACATTTCTATAGCGCAAATTTAATGTGGACATGGTCAAATACGCTTTACATCAAGTGTTACGCTTGCCTAATTACTTTCCCTGTGGGAGGAAAGCGTTGACCGACTCTTTTCACATGAGTCCATAGCGAGAATCGAACCCACGCGAACTCAGAGGTGAAAGTCGCTTGCTTTGATGACTGAAGCGAAGCCCTTTACTAGGCTTACACTACAATAGATACAATGGAATACAAAGGAATCTATTGCTATTTAGTATAAACCTACTAGTAGGCTATCACATATCGTGCCTTCTGGTTGGCTACGCTACTACTAGTAGGCTATTAGTGATAGCCTACTAATAAAAAATTCAAAATGGCGGAAAATTCGCGTTTTGCACTTTTGCCGAAGTGTCTGATGATTTTTTGGACGACTTGTTGAACAATTCTGTACTAAAAACCCCGAAAAAGCAACAAAAATATGGAATGGCAATTTTCAAGGGTAAGAAAATAGACAAAATAACATACACTCAATGAAATTTTAAAATTAAAACTGAATTTTGTAAAACATTTTACGCGAACAAAAAATATTAAAATATTTGTTTATCTTTAATGGTTTTATAATGTTTTTTGTGTATTTTTGTATTGTGTTTGCAGCATAGTTGTAAATTAATGTTAAAGTTTATACTAAAACAATTAGACAATTCGGCCTCGTTGTCTATGAGCAAATAGTCAACTCGGCTTCGCCTCGTTGACTATTCGCTCATAGACAACTCGGTCTCGTTGTCTAATTGTTAAATAGTTCAAAACAACACTTAGCAAATAAATCATTAAACAGTACAATAATCAACATTTCCCAAGATAGCTTCACATCCTCGTCCCAGGCTTTTTCGCGCGGTCTTGGTAAGTATTTTTGACTTCGTTTTGCCATGCTTCTTGTGCTATGCATGCATTTTGTTATGAGGTCGGACCGGCTCTGTTTTGGTTAGACATCGACAAAATTGACATATATTTCTGTAGAAAATAAATCTAAAATTCTGAGTAATAGATGAAAAGAATGTTCAGAGAAAAAATTGAAAAAATATCGTGTACACATTTGAAACTATAGACAGTTTTAGAAAAGAGGGCAAGGCAAACAAGATGACGCGGTCTCAATTTCAGTTGAAACGTCGAAGTCTTCAATACCTGGGGCGCTTTTATTGTTGCGATGTATGGCATATATACTTCCAAAAGCTGATGACATGTACTCATCCGACCATTTTTATATTATAGGTTCTTTTTGGTGAAGGTCGTGATATTTTAGATCTTGGACGTCACTGTCACGATGCTAATATGTATTACACACCCAAGAAGAGATCGGCATTGATTTGGTATAACCACAAAGTGGACCCAGAAACTGGCTGGTTTGGTGATCTTGATATTCGATCACTTCATGGCGGATGTAATGTTATCAAAGGTTCAAAATGGATTGCGAATAACTGGATCGATGCCAGTTCTGAATACTCGAACGATATTGACCTGTTCGTAAAGTCCCTTTTTGACAAGAAGCGCTGAAGGTTGCTCTGAAGAAGTTGTGAAATTTTACATCGTCCCATTCAAATAACTATCAGAACAATAAGTATACAGGGTGTATCATAAAAAAGGAGACCTTAGAGATGAATCTATTGTTGTTAAGCAAAATATATTTTGCTCCTGGTAATTAAAAATTCAATTCAATTGTATTTTCGCACTCTTGTGTTCAGCGTAGTGCTTATAGCATTCAAATTATAACAATTAGGTTCATTTCTAAAGGTCTCCTTTTTTTTATACACCCCGTATATAAAGTATATATACATGCACATCCTTCGTTGATGAGATTATTTAACACTCATTGATTGAGAAACAGTATTTTTTTGAACGCGAGCTGCCAATGTTTCCGAAGGCGAAACACTTTGTTATATACCAAGTGTCAGAGAAAACAAAAAACAAATGAAAAAGAAACGAGTAAGCTCCATAATTTTTGCTCATAAGGCATAACTGAACGCCCACCGCTAAGAGCTGTTGCCAGGAGACAGTCGAATTTCATTACTTTCACATGATACGCTCTCGTCCAATGAGATGCAAGAATACTCGACAGTACAAGAGACTTGGTATATAATATTTTCTGGATATGCAGTGGTAATATATATACTGACGTCGCCCATTGCATAATGGACACCAAAATACTTGAAAAACAGAACAAGTCGGAGCAATATATTTATGAAACGAATTTTCGCTACTTAAAAATATGTTTAAAATTTATTGGTCTTGTTATACTAGCCAACTACTCGCTTACTTTGTACCAAGATTCTTGCTGTAATCCTATATTGTCATATCTGCATGACCTGAATTTAATATTCTTTAATTATATGTTTTATAGCTGCTGCATTCATATAATTCTACATAATGTCTATCTTACATAAGTCAAAACACTTCACAAAAACCAGCACCAACCGACAATTTTCAAAAGCACAAAATGTAGTGCGAAGATCATGAACCTCTTGAGAAATCTATAAACTGAGGTTATTGCCTTGTTTCAGTCCACATATCTTGGACTTTTCACGAGATTTTTCTTTGCGTTATGTTTTGTCTTCTACAGTACTTGACAATTAGTAAATGTATGTTTTGATGGTTTCCTTGAATTAATGTAAAAAGACAAATAGTTATCTTGCATCAAATGCTTTGTCCCGAGCGATAACAGATTCATCAAATTGTATCATAAATGTGGTGCCTTTGTGCCAGTGAGCGGTTACCTTGCAATGCTATGAATAGGAAGAAAGACGAAAAATTCTTATTACGAATAAAGTACACGGCTAAAAACGCACAGGTTGTTGCAAGTTGATATCGACAGGCGTGAACAATGTTGTGCGGCCAACTATGAACAAGTTGTCAACCATGTTGTTCCAAGTTGTTACAGTTGAACAATGTTGTAAAAACATGTTGACATCACAATACTGTTCATAGTGGGCCGCACAACCTTGTTCACGCCTGTCGATATCAACTTGCAACAAGTTGTTGATTTTCTCAATTTTTACGCGTGTACAACGGAAACTTCAGGCAGCGCAAGCGACAAAACTACAGCACATGAATTGCGTGCGATCAAACGGACCAACAAAACCAAAAATATAACAAAAATTATGTTATACTACAACAATAAAAATCTGATTCAGCAACTTAATTAAAATAACCAGTAATCCAAATAGTGCTCGACTTTCGTAAAATACACAGTTCATAATTATCAAACTACATGCAAGTATATTGTAAAGGTTATTACACTGTGTCGTATCACTACCGTATATTTCCTCTATGTTTACCCTGATGATGACTGAAATATAGACGAAACGTAGATAAATAAAAAAAAATATACTGATAATGTTATATAGAAAATATGCTGATAATGCTGTGTATATATTTAACGTCCACTAGCTGCAGCTCTTTTATTATATCCATGGCATGTTATTATATAGCTATACATGCAATTATATCTATATCTTTAATATTTTCATACTTTTTCATACTTACAAAATTACACCCAAACAGTATTTCCTCAACAATTCCAGCAATAAAATACGCACAATTTAATCCACCTAACGTAAAAAAAAAATACATGAAACAGTATTAATTTCAATATCTGCGAAATGGAGCATAAGTTCTCATCTAGCTAAATTTTAACATTTTTCGATGACTTTCAAACTCGAGATGTAGAACGTTTTTGAATTTTTACTCCTCCACAACGAACTCAAACGTCTCTTAACTCAAACTCAAGTATTTTTGAAATGCTTTTAATTTTAAAATGTGACAAGCCAGAAAAAGAATGAGTGGTTTGCGGAAAAATACTGGAAGAGATTCAAAATTACAGATTGATATCCTAATTTTTTAAAGGTCAACATAACGAAAATAGAGAATTCAGAGACGCCAAAACATTACCTTTATCCTTTTGTCTCGAAATAAATTTGTTCACCAATGGTTCTTTCTCGATTATGTAATCTGTTTCTCAATGATTAAAGAAATTATAATATTTTTAAATGGAGTGAAAAACGTCGATCACAAAAATATAACTACACATCCTTATCGCTTATTTTAGATTAATGAACTAATTTTAACACAACCGACAGTATTGGCAAACTTGTCAAAAATGCCAAATTTCCTGAAAATTCGTGTTTTAAGCATTTAAGATTATCCTAGGATATTTTTCCACCAAAGAAATCGACACCTTTGGTGTTGATCCAGGTAAAAGTATGATACTAGTTCCAGGAAACAACGCTTTTAGCTTAATAAGTCCAATTTAATACTAACTATTAACGTCAGGCAGTACGGTTTTATGTGCGAGAAACGAAGTGAGGGCAGACACCGTAGGCTAGGTTTTAGTGCAGTTTTTTGGCTGTCCAAGATCTACCACTTTCATGAATCTTTCCTCAATCCATGCAAGTACCACCACTGGACCCAGGCCGCCTCGGTAAACACCTCTGTCCTACCTTTCCATGATCGGTAATTATGGTTATCAAAAATATTGTGGCTGTATTTTGTATTGAAGCTTAGTTAATTCGCTATTATTTTATTTAGAGGGGTTGGTTCGAAATTGTTCAGAAATATACAAAATAAAATACTAAAATTAAGGAGAATAAAAAACTAGAGTATGATGTCAATGGCAGAAGTTTTGAGTTATTATACCCGTTTTCAAAATTGAAAGTTAAAATCGCTAGCATCTATCATTATATGACTATGTACAATAGTGCGCCCGAAACATGCAGTGGTGTTCAAACCATGGGTAATGTCAGTGTACATCATCATTTATTCCAAAACAGAGTCTAGTTATTTCACAATGAACGAACGTTGCCGTTGGCCATTGTGCTTGGACATTGCCGAAAGTTTACATTTCTTAAAAGGATACATGTTTTATCGTCGTCATTAGATTGTTCGAGTTTGTCTGCCTCTTTACCAAACAATGACTGAAAAAAATAGTGCAAAGTTGTGAAAGGGTATATATACAAAATTACACTGAGATGGTAAGACTTGGAGGAAAGTATACTACTCACTAGCTATAAGTATAACTCTTTGTAAAGTTTGCTTCAGAATCATTCTCGGAGAATAATATTAAAATATTTCAAACTAATTCTGAAAATAAAGTCCAAGTGGGATTTTGTAGAAAATATGAGTGTGATTTTGCCTGGCCAACACAATCTCTGGAGGCTTGAATGATTGGATAAACAGGGATTGGAAGCGAGTTTATTACAAGCAACGAATAATATACATTTAAATTTATGGTTTTTCCATCAGTATAGAACTTTAAAATAACCAAAGTATTTCATAAAACGTAATACAAAAGGATTGTCTTTGAGGCTTTGCAGTGAATTCAGTTTTCATTTAAATACCAGAGAACGAAAAATTTGATGTCAGCGGAATGGAAATCTCATTATTTTTCAATACAGCAAGATGTAAAAGAAGCTGATTTACAGTATTAACCAACTGAAACCATTGGGTAAGATAAAATATCACTTACTTTCCAAACTGTCGTTTTAATAAATAAAAGAACATTAATAATCCTAGTCTCTCGTTTGTATCCCTTCTCACGTAGAACTAAAACATCGAGCATTCTTGAACCGATACTTTTCCCCATGTCTGATAACCTGTATAGAGGATTATTAAAATGTAATTGTTATTCAATCAACATATCATTCTAGAACTACCTGTACTATAGTACAATGACAATGTAAAATAAGAAAATTTAAAGTTAGTATAATATCAGTGATACAATTCAATTAAATTCAAATGGTAATTAGTCGTATTGAAATGTTAATTACACTGTACAACATACATGATTGTACAAGTTAATTGCCATAGCTGTTTAATTTAAATTCATAATATTGCTGTTCTAGGTTGTTTATTGTACATGGTAATATGGAACTATTTAACAAATCTTTCATATGAAAACTATATTACATTACTGATACTATGTATTATATAATATACTGTGTAAAAGTCATAAGTTACGAATCGTAAGCTTCATATATTCTACATTAATATATCTTACTTGGTTTGCAGATCGGCAACAGTTGTTACTCTGTTCTGAGAGTATTGCACAATCTCTGAGAATAGTAAAGCAAAGGAGCTTATGTGCACCTACAAAGAACGACACATTTTTTCAGTGCAATACAAAGTTCAGGTGTATGACTTAAGATCCTGTCACACTATTGTGGTTGCATACGCTGGCATATGGCGAGGCAGAAAAAGTTTTTTCTGCATGCGTAAAAATTTTGTGCGTATTCGACATTGGAGCCTCTTGATTGAGATACAAACAGTCTATATTTTTGTAATGTTGTCTCTGAGCGTGTCCACATTGGGCAAGCTTTGCACCTACTCGACCCGACCTTGTAGTTCAGTTTGTAGAGCATTGGACTCTAGCAAACCAAAGGCCAGGTTCAGTTCCCACCGCAGTCAAGCAAACTTTTCAGCTTGCCCGGTGTGGATACACTCAGAGACAACATCACAAACCTAGATCTTCATTTTAATATTAGAAATATAAAAATATAGGTCTGCAACATTTGTGTATAAAAATGTGGTGTGAAATCGCCAGCACGAATATATTCCGATGCCCACGGTTTGTTTATGAAAAGCGAAACGTGATAATTTCTGACGATCTATGAAAAGACCTCTTTCTCAGAGCTGCGTCCTCGCCCACAGACACAAAGCGGACGCATGGCGTCCGCACAGTGGATGCACCCGCAAGCGCCCGCAGACACACAGTGGATGTACAGCGTCCGCAGGACGGACGTACAGTGGATGCAAGATACCCACATCTTGGACACAGTTTTTGTTTATTTCTTGGCAGTACTGTACATACCTTGTATATCCCCGGGTGTTCTTCCGTGCGTTCCGGGCAGTATTTAGTAGGACCCTGGCACACAGTGTTTATACATCCCATACTGGGCTGCAATATACTGCCAGCCAAGGCCGGATTTTGGTGGAAATAGTGGGGGAAGAGGCAAAAATCTTAGGGGAGGTGCAGCAATCTAGCTCAAAACCCCCATGGAAAGTCAGGGCTTAGAACGAGCGAAAGTCAACGACGTGTGTATTAATGAATTATGACAACTCATTACAATTACTACCAAGTTTCTTTCAAAATATTGCATTAAAAGAATACTTGACACAGAGATGAATTGGCTATCACTGTTTCAATTTTACAGAAAAACTTTCTTTCGAAGTGCAGACCCTAAGCAACCAAAAAATCTCACATTCACCTGGAAATAGTGGTGGATCCTGGGAATGACGTTCCTAGAAATTTTTTTGATTGCTAGAAAGGATTTTCAATTTTCTTTGGCAGCAAGTTTTGAAATTTCTTAAAAGTTAACAAGATTAACAGCAGTTCTTGTTAATATCACTGTTCCAATTTTACAGTGTAGACACTAAAGGCCATTTTCCACTAGGCGGAATTTTGCGTGTGGAGTGGAATTTGAATTTCTCTTTGTCTTTTCTACTTAGTTCCACCTGAGAAATCACAAGACAAAGAAAAATTCCGCTCCACGCACAAAATTCCGCCTAGTGGAAAACCGGCTTAAGCAACCAAAAATCTCACATTTTCACTTTGATCTATCAGGGGAGGTGCACACCTCCCCTCAAAATCCGCCCATGCTGCCAGCATTGTTGGTACTAAGGGCAGCTCCGCTAACTAGCCCAGCATGGAGCCCCTTTGTATTAAATTCAGTACTTGCAGAGTACTGAAGTTTTATATGCTGTATGACTGTATCGTCTCATGTAATGTTACATCCACATTCCACAGTATATATATTTACAGTATATTCTAGTTACACTTTTGAAACGAAACTCATACCTCATTCCGTCCTTTGTTTAAAGGTCTTTCTAAAATGTTTGTAGTTTTCTTATTTATACGGACTGTTCCATCGAACTTGTCCATATTTTTCAAAAAACTTTTTTAGAATTTGACTATTTGAGATTTTGGCTTTACAAATTTATTGTGATTCTGAGCCCGCGGAAAGATCTAATATTGAATCTGAACTAGAAAGAACTTATAATTAGTTGCTCAGCGGTTTCTGTCCATTATAGTATGCGTAAATGCGCGAGAAAAATCAGAAATTATTGACATTTGAAAAATGGAGATTCTCTGGAATGGTTACCTGTAAATGGAGTAAAAAATCTAAGATTTAGCTAAACTTTATTGGAAATTTCTGCTTAGATCAACCATGGCACGACGACATTACCGTGGGCATGGTAGGTATATTTATTTTAAACGTCTGTGTTTGTTACAAAGCCTGGATATTTTGATACGACTCAATTAGTGAATTCAGTCTTTATAAACTGTTCACAGTCTGCCGCCAATCTACGAAGCTATTAAATCTTTGTCCCAAGCTGCTCAAACTAATCACAAAATTGTGTACAATTTACAACAAGTTTTTTTATGAGAGGTTGAACGCCAGTGTCAGCAGAGTTTTGTTGCCATGCAGTTTGACGAGACCATGCTCGCCTCATATTCTCAGGCCAGACCATTAATATATTTTAAATTTAATTTAACAGCTTTAATTTGGCACATAGATAACTAGACAATATTGAACATAACTTACATAGATAATTACATTTAACAAGAAGATGGAGAATAGTAACTATAGAAGGCGCCAAAAGTGGAGAAACACAAACAAGACTATAGACCCCATTCATGGTGCACACCACTAGATGAGATACTGTAGCATAAGAGCAAGAAAATTATAGAATAGAAAAGTGGAAAGAGAATGGAGAGCTAGGAGCACAGACAGAAGATGAGATAAGTCAGGGTGTAGACAGTAGCAGTTAGGTGGAGGTAAGTCTTGTGTAGGTATGATTTAAAGGTGGGAGATTGTCGTAGCAATTGGAAGGAGAAAATTCACATACCCTATTATTACCCCGCATATATGCACACTCCAGATAAAAGCATCAAGGATTGTGAGTTAGACAGGTATGACCAGAATACCTTTTCTTAATGATACAAATACTTTTTATGTTTCAAATTATCAACATTGTCTATAGGCAGTTGCGATATTGAAAAAAATCGATATATCGATATCGGAAAAAATTTTGATATCGACTATATCGAATTATGCAAATGAGAAAATGTAATTTAGTCAACCATGTATACGTATCACAAACAGTTAAAAAGAAGTGTATGAAACCAGTCATGATACGTCTCAAAGATTTATTAACAATATTGGTTTATCCGTTAATGAAAGTTTAAAGATATGTTTACAAGCCTTAGAATGGTTTCATATTACGTTTGTTCGCAATTGCCGCCATACGCACGTTGTCTAAACTTCGCTGGTGGGAACAATAATTGCCGAATAATCGAACATTAAGTTGCTTAGTTACAACTTTCGATATCTTCGATATGGGAAAAATCGAATATCGATATTTTTGAAATATTGATATTTATGGACAATATCGACATATCGCAACTGCCTAATTGTCTATTATAAATTGTAGTTATATAGTTAATAATAATACTTATTGTTTTTGGTTTATTCACCTATTCACCTGAGGTATTCTTTTATTAAAAGGGATGTACCAATTCTTGTACCCAGACCCCATGCACATAGGTCTAGGTACAAGGGTCGGGTGTGCTTGTAAGTGAAATTTTATAGGTGCATGTGCGTATAAAACATCAAATTTTACTCCAAAATATTTCCAAAATTGCAGAAAATTTGCTTGTAGACGCTGTGCTTACATGCGGGGTAATAGGGTAGATAGTTCCTCAGTTTTACAATTCTAACGTAGTAAGAACTGTGAAAAGTTGACTAGTTTCCACATAATGCAATGTGTTAAAGTCTGTGAGACCGTATTTGCATTTCCAAAAAAGATTAAGCCACGTTTCTTCATTAGGGAGTGGTCATTATTTATGGGGAGGGGGGGGATGGGAGGGGGGGG